CACGCAATGGGCAGCGATGCCGACTCGCGCTCCCTTTCTCTCTCTTTCGCTCTCTCTCTCTCTCTACCTCTACTAGTCTCTTCTTGCCCACCTTCCCTACCCGCGCAACAGGCGGAAACTGCCTGGCGGAGTGGGAGGAAAGGATCGCTGTGGCGGATCAACGCAAACGGACTGGGACGGAGCAAAGCAGCCCCGCTCCCCTTCACTCCCCCCCAAAGGCAGAAACAACAACAACAACAACAACAAAAAGCAGTCCAAAATACAGGGGAATGCATCACAGGAGGAGAGCACGGATGAGGAGGATCAAAAGCAGGACGAATGCCTCAGCGGTGTGTCGTCCGCATCGCTGAGCAAGACAGAAGCCTTATCGCCCCGGATTGTCGCCATGCGGCACCACCATACTCGGCTGCCACTGCCACATGACGGCCAGACCCTTTTTCCAAGACTACAGTGAATATGGAAAGAGCGAAAGAATCAGAGTGGGTGGGTGAGTGTACGTGTGAGAGCGACAGAGAACGAACGAACGAACGAAGAGCAGACATGCGCGTCTGAGATCAGCGACACAGAAGACCACGGTCCCCATCGCTCCGCACGTACCCATCCATCCATCTACCACCACCACCCACGCAGCGGAGGTCTCACTAAACAGCCGGAGGCGCACAGACGGAAACTCGAAAGCACCTTGTCCTCCGTTTTTGTTTTTGTTTGTTTGTTTGTTGGTTTATTATCGCTACACTCAGCCGCAGCCCCCCTCCAAACGAAAGAAAAATAACAACGAAAAAGAAACACTCTTCGGGCGTGGAGGGGGGTGGTGGGTGGTGGCGTATTGCAAACGCGACAAAATATCGGAGAGATGGGTAGAGGCAGAAAGCCAACAGCGTGCACGTTTCAGTTGGCGCCGAGCGTACGTCCCGCTCCCCATTGATGTGGAGCCGCCGCACCGCCGTCTCCCCGCCGCTGCTGCGCCAATCTCGCGCCGTACGCCTGCCTAGCAGCAGCAGCAGTGGCAGCGGTGGGGTGCACTGTGCCAAAGCCGGGTCCGCCACTGTTGGGCAGCACGTAGCGCAGGAACCACGTGGGGGTGCGCAGCGGGTCCGCGCCGTNGCCAAAGCCGGGTCCGCCACTGTTGGGCAGCACGTAGCGCAGGAACCACGTGGGGGTGCGCAGCGGGTCCGCGCCGTCCGTCTTGGGTATGACGTCCTTGAAGAAGAAGAACAGGTGGCCGACCACGACGCCGACCAGGTCCTCTACAATGCTGTGCCCAACGATGAGGTGGAACAGCATCAGGATCCATGGGAACGTGTTGGCGTTGAACTCGAAGTTGTAGAGGTTCATGCGCAGCTCGGGGTGACGCTTGCAGAACACCCAACAGAGGGACATCAGCATCGCAAAGCTCGTGACGGGGAGACCAAGCAGAAGGCCACCGGCTGTGTTGCCCAGAACAAGAATAATCCCCATCCACAGGAAGTCCCCACTCTTGCCTTTGAAGTCGAAGGTTTCATTGTAGTTCATGTAAGACACAAACATGGCGAGAGAGAGGAGCCACGAGAAGGAAAAGCCCCCAAAGAAGAAGGCGGCGCTGACGGGGCGCCACAGTTGCAGCTGCGTGAAGGCGGCGGGAGACAGCAGCAGATCCACAAGCGGAACCACCTGCAGCGAGACGAGGGTAGTGAGCAACACGGCCAGGGCAAGCCCGCACTTCGTGAGGGGCCCCAAACCATCCAGCCAAGTGTCAAAACTCTGCGCCATCTCACCGTGACGCAGACGTCCCAATCGGTTGCGCACTACCACAGAGAAAAGGGCCTCTTAGTTTGCTTGCAAGGACTTTCTGCACCGTGCACATGGATCGGTGAAGACCGAGCGAGGAGGAAGAAGAGAGTGTGAGTGAGCGTGGGAGAAGTGACACAGAGATCCACAAGCCACAACCCAGGAGACATTATGTGCCGGTGCATAAAAGAGATGAGAAACCAATCATTCTCATCATCAGAATCGGCAGCAGTTGAAAGCAAAAGAGGAGTAAATGCGTCGATCCACCCGCGCAGCGTCCCCCTTTCCGCCGCAAGCGAACTCAACCAACACATCATAGATGCACATGGGTGTAGGAAGTATCCGCTCACCTTCTCACCACTATTATGGAAGGGAGAGAAAGGGGTGAGGTAAAGGATAAAACAAATGACGATTGAACTTTTTCTCTCTCTCTCTCTCTCGACATGCCCAATCCCAAAGGAACCTTGCGGCCTGCTCAACAAGGCCGGAGGAGGACTCATTCCAAAACTGTCACCCCGGCACTTACAGAAGCTTCATACGCGACGCCAGCAGCACAGCCGGGGCCCGCACCGCATGCTCACACAGTGTGCGTGCCTCCAACACGACTCCAAACGAAAAACAACAACAACAACAGCAACAGAGAGAAGCGACATGAGGATCAAACAACAAAACAATTACAAACCAGGTGGATGAGAATGGCAGAGTGAAGCCGCCAAGGTAGAGCGGATGAATGGATCCTTTCTGCAACAGCGCGCCACACACGCCGCGTACTCAAACGGAACCCCCCGAGACAAATGCGTTGAAAACTTCAACAAGTCTTTCACTCCCATCTGTTCTCACCCCCCCTTCCTACTACCAGCCTCCGCTTCCCCGCAATGAAGGTAGCCGCCACGCGCTCATTGCCGCTGCCGTCCGCTCCCCGCTTCAGCGGAGTCGGAGCTGCTGCAGCGGCACCAAACGGGGGTTGAGTGCCCCTGCCACGCAGAGTCACACCACGCCGCGTACTCCCCCATACCGTTTCGCACCAAGTCAAAGCGGCGGGCAGACGGGTTGGTGGCGGAGCAGCACCACAGCGGCGGCTTGTCGTCGAAGAGGTCCAGCTCGTACGCGTACACCTGCGCCGCCCACACGTCGGTAGCCCGGTTCGAAAAAATGTCTTCGTAGCGGCAGATAGGAGCGCGGCACTGCATGCAGAGCAGCACGGACAGCACCTCCTCCGCCGCGGCGCCGCCACCACCCTCTGCGCTGTGACTGGCGTCGGGGCCGGTGTTTGCCCCCTCTTCACATCCGGCCATCCTGCGCCACTATGTGTTGGATGACTCGCTCTACGCTTGGGGAAATTCAAAGACAGTAGATACAACAGACACACACAGACAGACAGACAGAGGGAAAGGCAACCGCGGCAACAACAACAGCAACAGAAGCACTAACAAGGGGTACACTTACCATCGGCATAGCGCCCCCACCGTTTCCGCACTGAGAAGGCCGCTGGCATATTCCGTCAACTGCTGCATGAAGCCCGCGTTTGGACAGGCGCAGAGCCGCACTTCCCGCACAAATTCAACCACCGCCTTTACGGCATCACCAGAACTTCGCGGCATTTCGCCCGTGGCGCGCGCATCGCACCAGCACCGCAACAAAAAGGCGCACACCAGCGTGACAGAGCGAGACACCCCAGCAACGCAGTGGCACACAACGGCCCTGCCCAAGCCATCCACCACTGCCCGCATCAGTGCGATGGCGACATCGAAGTGCACATGCACCAGACACGACGGCTCATCACTCCATGGCAGGCAGAGCTTCAGGTAGACCACCCCGCCGTGGGCACTGCTGCCGTCATCGCTTGCCTCCCCCCGCCCATCATTGCCAGCAAAAGACCGCGATTCCACCGCCTTCTGCAGCCACTCCGCTGTTGCAGCTACCGACACCACCGTCGCAGCTGCTTTGCGTGAGGCATCACCGACATGTGCCTCGAGTTCCTCCCACGAACACACCGCCAGTCGCCGCACGCGGCAAGAGCCTTGTTGACGCGTCGCCGTGGCCGCTGGAAGCAGCTGCCGCATCTCCAGCCGCGGTCGATCACCGCGATCGCAGGTGGACACCACCAGAAGCATTTTTTCCGGCAATAACCGTTGATGCAACGCCCACGTGTCCTGCACATCCTTTAGCGCCCCCAAGTAGAGCTGTGGGACAATGCGGTGGGGCCGGAAGCTGCGCCGCTTTGGCGGGATTGCCCCCACCGTTTCTCCTCCTCTTGTTGTTGTTGTTGTTGTTACCGGACTGTTCCGTTTCCCCGCGCGCCACTGCTGCAGGTACTGCTCCAGGCCGTCAGCGCTCATCGCCTACACACACACAGATGAAAGAGGGAGGAAGAGAGACACGCATTAAAAGGTACCTGTGCTGAAAAAAACGACCAAGCCCAAATAATCGTAGAGGGTTGAAGACACGCACCCAACGGAAGAAAAAAAAAATGATGGCTACCTGCGCATACACACAGAACCACACCCTCCGCCTTTTTCCCTCCCTCACATGCGCACAAGTGAGGTGGAGAGGTAGTGTGTGTGGGAGACCAAAGGAGCGGAATGTGCATGAAATCGGGAAAAACGTCACATACCAGACCTCTCCTCTCCCACACCCCTCCCTGTCCATACGGGACATTCCAATGAGGATAGCGACACTGCATGGAGTAAAAAGAAAAAAAAAGCAAGGAGAAAAAAAAAACATACAAATTGCTGGCATAGGACTACATATGCGAACGCTTTACATCTTGGGGAAAGAGAGAGTGATGATGGTGGCGGTGGAGGAGAATGAATGCTGCTCCAACAAGCACACGCATACAAAGAAAAAAATTGGGTTTACCCTTCTCCTTTTATCATGAGTGGCGAAACACAATTTCCACCACACCTCTCTCCCCATTTTTATTCTCCCACTTTAGGACTTCAGACAGAGACAACATCCCCTCACCCTCATGCATTTATTCAACCACGTACAGAGGGTGCTCCTGCGGCTCTTCGTTACCTCCGCGCACCTCTTTCAGCATCGGTGGCTTCACGGGAGAACGGCTGATGCCTTTGTTGTTCCTCTCTCCAGAACCCGGCGCCTCTCTAGAGTCGCTTTGTGCGCCCAGACGACCATCGGAAGGGGGAAGCATGCCGGACTGCCGTGTTCGCATCCCATTGCTGTGGCGCCGCGGCTTTTTCGGCTCCAGCAGCGCCGCGGCATTGCTGGTGGATGATACACCATGCGGTCTGGGACAGCCGTAGACTTGCTCCAGTTGCTCGGCACGCTTTTGGATCCGTTCAGCAGCTTCTCGCCTGCTGTTCTTCTCACACACACGACGCTCCTCCTGGCTCAAATCAGGCGTGCGAGACGGCCCGCCCCTGCCTTTACTGGACAGGATACAAGAGTAGCTATAGCCCAATTCGGGGGTGGTGCCACTGTTGTTGCTGCTGTTGGTTCGCTCAAGCAACTGCTGCAGACAGCGCCGAAACGCGTCCTGCTGACGCCGCGACTGTGATGCCGGTGGCGCGGGAAGACGCAACTGTGAGTCCCGGTTCGACGCTTCCCCCTCGGCGTCGGCATTTCCCCTTGCAGCGGGCTGCGGCGGAAGCGTGCTCATCGTGGTGAGGTGACTTACTCCACGCGAGAGAGGGGTCCACATTTTTTTGCTGTCCTGAGCGGTATAGCCGTAGCCGAGCGGTGGTGTGCCTCTCTGCACCGTGCGCTGCAGCGCCTTGGAGCGCCGACCTTTGCCATCGGCTCCGCGCTGCGGCGTCCTCCTGGCTCCAGGTACCTCCTCTGATCCCTCCCCTTCCGTCGACCCTACCACACACAACAGTTTGCGCCGCCGTTCTGCCTCCCTCGGGCTTTCACAAGGCCTGTCATAATGCTGAAGAAGTGCCAGATATGCATCGCTCTCGCGCAGGTGCANCCGCCGTTCTGCCTCCCTCGGGCTTTCACAAGGCCTGTCATAATGCTGAAGAAGTGCCAGATATGCATCGCTCTCGCGCAGGTGCATCTCTGTCGGGGCGGAGGGCTGACCGCTACCTGCTGCTCTGTGCGCCGCTGCAGGGGCCATGCGTGCCAGGCGTTGTTGCCTCTGATGCTCAGCAGCCAGCACCTTACCTGCGCCCCTCACCGCTTGCTTCGAGTGCGGCGGCACAGCAGGCAGCGCCACTGACTGTAGCTTTGTTGGTGACAGGTTTGGCGGCCGTACCGGTGACAAACTTTCCTTGCCTACAGGCTCGCCATTCGCCAGCTCCTCACCTTCCTCACGAAACGACCAGTCACCTTCCTCCTTCAACGCCTCTTGGTCTACATCGTGTGTTGAGGCCGAGATATTGCTCTTAGAAGCGGGCTGTTGCTTCTCGTCATCATCCTCTTGCCACTGTTGTTCCGCGGCGGAAGCATCCACATTGGCAGCCACGTCGGTCTTTGTGTCCATCAGATCGGTTTTCATATCCTCGTCCTCGCAGCGCCCACCACTACCATCCGTTTTTGTGTCGGCGCTAGCATGCGGCACATCTGAGTTCAGCTCGTACGCCGCCGTTACCGTCTGCTCGCCGTCCGTAGAAAATTCGCTGCCCCGTGGCGGCTCACCATCTTTATCTGGCGAGCCTGCGCTGCGGTCAGGCCCCGCGTCCGTGGCGGCAGCAACAGCGTGGGCGCCGTCCACTTCGCCGGCCTCATGGAATTTCTCCGTGACCTCATCGCTGAACTCGTGGGCCTCTTCGCCAACCGCTTGGGGCTCATCGCCGATTTCATGGAACTTCTCCGTGACCTCATCGTTGATCTCATGGGCCTCTTCGCCAACCGCTTGGGTCTCATCGCCGATTTCATGGAAATCTTCGCCGCCATTCCGCTGCTGCTCCTCCCCCCCAACCGGGTCATCCACTGGTGCCTGGTCCGGTTCCGCTCCCTGAGCGAGTTCAGCGGCCGCAGACATTGTCTCCTTGCTGTTTCCTAGAAGTACACACTCAACCACTCACTCACCTAGTTCTGTTGTAATTATCACAACTGAGGGAACGTGTGGTGCTGCTCGTGCTGCTTCGCCACAAAGACAACTTTGTGCGCCGCGCTCCGTCCACTGGTGGATAAATGAATGGGCTGTGGCTGCTGATTGCGCGGTATTCAGCGAGTGTGTGTGTGTGTGTGTATGGGAAAGAACAAAGAAGAAAACCGAGAGAGGGAGGGAAAAGAGATACCAGAGAGTGAGAGAGAGAGAGTCTGTGGTGTTGGCTAACTTGACAAGGCGCAACGAGGAGAAATCTCGCATACCCCCCTCCTTCAAAACATTACACCCCACGAGCGTCGGCATGTATGGCCAGTAGAACACAAAGGAATGAAGAAAGAAAAACGACGCGCTGAATGCGGCCGCCCAGAGCTCATATACATTGCTGTCTAGACATAAGGCGGCGAAGGACAACGCGTGTGTGGAAGTGCCCAGAAGGACAGGCAGCTCGCGGGTAGTAACCCCTTAGTCTTTTTCTTTTGTATTTGCAGTCCTGTGCTGCAAGCCAGTCAAGCGCACGCTACGCCCAAGACGAAAGCTTTTTTTTTTNTCTCTCTCTCTCTCTCTCCTCACTCTCTCCCTCAGATGCATGCATGCAGGCACTCTCTCACACACACACACAGTCAGAGAGAGAGAGAGAGAGAAAGAGAGTGAAACTCCTGCGTGTTCCTTTCTTCAAGCATCATTACCCCAAAATTGCCCCACGCCGAAACGTATTAAAAGTACATTCTGTAGCAACAGAAGCAGGACCCCTTTGAAAACTTCTTCACCGTATGCTTGCTGCTGCCGCTGCCGCTGGTATTGCTGGAAATCTTACTGTCTGGCCAATATATTGTAGAGCCACACACATCACACACACACACACACACACACGAAGCCACAAACAGCCAAGGCTACCGTCGACGCTCAGCAACAATGTCGGACTCGTCCCACGGCCCGAGGGGCGCCTTCTCAATGGCTATTCTACCCTTCTCATCCATCGCATCTTCAATTGCGCGACGGGCATCGGCAGCACTTCGCCTAGATTTCGCATCGTCGTCTTCATTGTCATCGTCGTCGTCATTGTCCGCATCCATGGGCGGACGCGGTACCGCCCCGTCGTCACCGCTCGTAAAGGTCAATACATCCGGCTCCCCCTGCTGCTGGCAGTCATCCGCCCTCGCCTTCGCCGCCGCTGTTCCTGTTGATGACGCCTCTGTGGACCCCGCCGCACGTGTGCCTTGCCGCGACAGCGACTGCTGTGCCACTTCATAGAACGTCGTGTTTATCGTCAATGGCGGATTCGGCGCCCCAACGTCAATGCCGCATGTTGTAGTTGGGCGCGAGGGAAGCAGTGTAGCGGGTTTCGGCAGCTGCGCCTCCATCCAGAGGGACAGCGCGGTCTCGTTGCGCAGCTGCAGCAGCTCCTTGGCGCAGTGGTTGATGTCCTGCCGCGTGGTGTCCTCTTCGTCCGTCCGCTCCACCCGCAGCACAGAGGTCGGCAGGTTCGTGGAGACAACAGCAGTTTCGTGGTACAGCACCCGCAGCCGCGGCAACGCCATCACGATACCAGCCACTGTTTCCGGCAGCAACTGCGGAAGCCCAAGTAGGTTCAGCACTTCCATGCTCGCCATTCCATGCAGGTGGCGTACCTCGGCGTTGCCAATTGCATTGCCGGCGTTTTTCAGGCTCAGCTTGATGAGTTGCGGTAGGCGGGTGGCAATGGCATCAATGCTACTGCCCGTCAGCTGGGCCACACCACCCACGTCGAGCTCCAAGAGCGAAAGTGGGAGCCGCGCAAGATGGGCATCCACTACGCCCTTACATCCGTGGAGGGAGAGCCGCACCAGGTGTGTTTGCTGCTTTACAAATGCCTCTAGCTCCGATGATGAAGCGATAAGGCAATCAATAAAACCAGCTGAGAGAAGCTGCACCATGTCACAGGACTGCTGCTGCGCTGTTCCCACCGACAACACGCTGGCGCTGGCCATGAGAAACTTGGGTGTGACGCACCGATCACCATTATTTTCACTATTGGAGCGGTGAATGAACGCACCAAGCGTGCCGCGATCCACGACGATGCCCTTCAGCGTAATTTCCGTCAGCTTCGGCGCAAAGAAGTCAAAAAGAACATGGGAGTGCGTGAGGGGCACGGGCAGGCGGCGCAGCTCCGGCGCACGCAGCATTGCGACGTACGCGAGTGAGGAGAAGAGCACCTCAATATTGGCCAACTCCAGTTGCTTGATGCCGGGGCAGTTCTCCAACCGCAGCACCTTCAGCCGCTCATGCTGAGAGATGTACGTGACACACGCCGTCGTGAGACCATCGTCGCCTGAGAGGTCGAGCGTGTGCAGCTTCGGGCACGCTTCGAGAATGCCGCGCACATGCACGTCACGCAGTGTGGTGCACCCCGTCAAGACGAGCACCTCCACTGTTGGACCTCGGAACGTTCGGAACAGTGTCGTTGGATGGGTGATCGTGCAGCGGCTGAGGTCCAGGCACTGCACTTTGAACTGCGGCTCCTCGTCCTCCTTCACCACTGCCACTCCCGCTGATGCTGGGGCAGCCTCAGGAGCAACAGCAGAGGTGTCTGCATTCGTATCCACAGCGGTGTGCGAACAGTCGGCGGGTGACAGCACGTCGCTTTCCTGCATCATCGAGTCCGCCGGAAAATCATCCGTCGTTGCTGAAGGACTTGTCATCTTTACTGAACACCCCGTAGCCAGCTGCTCTCGTCGCGTAATGAGCGAGAAGAGGATCGCTAGTCCCTCGTCCGTCAGTGACACCTCCGGCAGCGTGAGCACCTCCACATGGAGCTCCATGAGGAGTGTTTCAGCCAGCTGCTGCATGACCGTCGTGTCACTCACAGCAAAAAGCTCCACACGGCGCACACTCGACAGCATGCGTATCATTTGCATCAGCAGACCAATGTTGGCGTGCCAGGCATCGGTTCGGAATGACAGCAGCTCCACCTGATTGACCCAAGAAGACGACACCGACGCTGACGACGAGGGCGAGCGGAGACTGCTGAGACGCAGAGTGCCGTGCATTTCAGTTGCGCCTCCTGAAGGCATTCCTTTAAACTCAACCAACACCCGTTTCATAGCACTCAGCTGGGCGTGAGTGATGGGTGGCTCCACCGCCATCAGCCGGNCGCCGTTGTACAGGCTGTGCAGGAGCTCCATGTGCGGCACCACCTCGGTACGGAAACAGTGCCACACGTACGCCTCGATGGCGCCAGTTACGTTCATGACATCTGTACGCAACAGCCGCTGCAGCTGCAGCGACCGGTGACCATCGAGCTGCAGCGCCGTCGCGGAGTGTGTGGGGCGGCGGCTCTTGCTTCCAACGCGCGAAGGGAGTGCGGGAGTGGCGAGACCGCCGCTTTGATGGCGCGTCCCCCCGCTGCCCACCGCTGACCGCAGTTGGCCGAACGCCTCCGTGCGCTGGGCTGAGCTCATGGCCTGCGTCTGGCTCGCGCGCAGCTGCCTGTTCTCGCGCTCCAGCTCATCCACGCGCTGCTGCCGCGTCTGCAACTCGGTCGTTGTGATGTTCAGAACATCGCGCAGCCGCATGACCTCCTCCATGAAGCTGGTGGACTCTGCCCTGCTGCCGGCGAGCTGCTCCTGCGCCACAGACAGCTCCGTCGCCATGTTGTGCAGCTGACGGTGGAGGCTCNCTCCTCCAATTTGGCGCGGTAGCGAGCCACAGGAATACCAGACGATGCGTTCCTTGAAGACATGGCCGATGCTTCCCTCGGCAGCTGAAACAATGGCTGCGGGACTGGTGCGGCACGAAGTGGTGCGATGACCTCCGACGAAAGACGCTGCGGCTCCTTAGTCCTTAGAGAGAGCGAAGTAAGCGGATTCTGCTGAAATTTCTCCTGTTGTTGCTGCTGCTGCTGCTGTTGCAACCCCCTCGGAAAGAGGGTTGGCAGGTGCCGAGATCTGCTGGTGCTGCTGCTGCGGTTGTCAGCCTCAACTCCAACTCCAGCAGCAGAAGAAATAGCAGTGGCAGGAGGAGTAGCAGTAGTATCGCCACCTTCGGCAACACCGCCACTGCCGGTGATGTTCTCGCTTTTCGTCTCGACGGCACTCTGTCTGTTGCTGGCGCAGCTGCCGCTTCTCGCTGCCGTGCATTCCGCGGGTGCAGGAGCCGCAGCGTCGGTTGCGGGCTCGAGGGATTCGAGGGGCGAGCCTGGGCGGGACGGACCCACCGCTACTGCTGGCATGCTAAATGCGTGAACTTCACAGGACGCGCGCCCCCGGCTCAAAGAACTACAACAACAAACAAACAAAAGATTTCCAAAGGGGGAAAAAAGGGCCTTTCCCTCTGCCCGACTCCTTCAACGTGACGAAGAGAGACAATGAAACCACGAAACAAAAAGAAAGAAAACATCGTGCGACATGCGCCAGCGTGTGGAAGGGGTGAACGCGCATGCATGGCCAATGCGTGCGTGGGCGGCGACGCCACGGCGTGGGTGGGGCACACGCTCCAAGACGGATGCGGAAGGAAGGGGGGGGGGAAAGAAACGGCGGGGGCGTCGTTGGCCTCCCTACTCACTCAATCGCGTTACATATAATATAAAACACAGTATTATATATGTGCCTATATATGAATAGCTTGATATATGCGCTGATTGTAATGAGTCTGCGCTTCCGCGCAGATGAGGGATGGACGGTTGTCGAAACAAAAACAAAAAACCACTCCAACGACTTGTGAGGCCCACACGCGTGCGCGATTGCCTGCCTCTGCCCGTGAGTGACACACACACACACGTCTTTGCTTTTTTCTTCCCACTCGCTCCATCTCTCTCTCTCGCTTGCTGTCGCGCATGTGCCATACACGAACAAACGTTTTGTTTCCCTTCGGCGCTCTCCCCGTGTCCCTATGTTCGATAGAAGGGACTCCCCCGCCCCCTCCGTCGATCCCCTCCCAGTTGCTTCTCGTCTCTCTCCTTGACTTCTTTTCCAATCTACTTACTGCTACTTCGGCTGACGACATTGTTCTTGTTGTTCCTTCTATTCCCCCCTCGCTTGCAGTTCCTCCGTGTATACACACCCACACACACCTGCGTTGCTGCTGCGCACCTCCCCCCTTACTGACGGTGCCTCTCGCTCACACACACACACAGAGAGACAGACAGAAACACACGATACAAAACAACGCGCCGCCGGCATCAAATCCCCACGCACAAACAGACACACATGAACATAATGGCCGGTGATTATCCGTAGTGCATACGCACCTGTTTGTCTGTCTGTCTGTGTGTGTGCGGCTTTTCTTTTAAAAACATTTTATTTGGGCGTGGGGGGGGAGAGGCGCCGCGGGCGGCAGGCACGAACAATCAAAGGCACACACAGACACACACAGAGGGGGAGGGAGAGCGAGAGAGATATCCATGCACACAATGGCGGGGAGAGAGCGAAAGAAAAGCAAAAACACACTCACAAAACAAACAAAGGGGTGAGCGAAGTATCCCCCTCCTCGCACAAACAATAAAACCAACAAAACAGAAAAAAAAA